CCCCAAAACCCCAAAACCCCAAAACCCCAAAACCCCTAATTTAACCATAATTATTGAACACATTATTCCAAAATGCTAAAGAACGAACGAGTCACAATTGATTACCTAAATAATCAGCTTGATCTTGAAAGGGAGAAGTTACAGCAATGAGAGGAGAACTTGGCCATACACAAGGAGATTCTTCAATCAGTGATCACCTGTGGTAAAACCTCTTCAGGACCTAGCCAGGCCACTGGAGATTCCCACTTGTGTAAAGAATGCTTCTACATTAGCAAGCATTACAATATGAGCAACTGAGTGTCTCATCTCAGAGGGCTACTTGCCCTTAAAGATGAGAGAATAGAGGCTTTGTTAGCTCAAATTTTAATCCTCAAGAAACAGATAAACATCTCCGAAACCAATAGTATTGAGAAAGAGAAGGAGCTCACAGAGAAAGCAGAAGATATCAAAGTCAAGTTAGAAAGAACCGAGCATATCTTCCAAAGTAAGAAACTTTGTTTTTGAAAATATAATTCGATCATTTATCGAACACTTGGTAGTTCTTACCAGAATAAAATCACTTAATGCTTGCATATAGACAAGGAGAAATAAATGGGCAGAATTAGAGAGGATCTTGGTTGTCTATGCCAGAAATGATCAGCATCTCAGGCACAAGCTTGGTGAAATCAAATACATCTGTGATGACCCCTCCAGCAACAGAAGGATCACCACAGTTGTTGAGGAGAACGAAAGATTAAAAACCGAGATGAATGATATCAGGTCTGAAATGGAGGAGCTTAAGAGCCAAGTCGACTGAGCTAAATCAAACCCAACCTTCTTCGATGATGGAGATGATTACTTCAAGATTGGAGACCAGCCATTTCATGATGATGAAGTTCCGATGAATAATAAAAGTTTGGCAAAAAAATCTTACAAATAATAACCAGAGTGCTATGTCTGATATGAGGGGCTCTGATCATAACGTCAATCAAGGATTTATGCAGCGCAGTAGATGAGAGAGCAACAACCAGCTAGACGATAGAAGCCTTCTTGGTAATCTCAAGCACGAACGATATAGCACCTATGGTGGTAAGTTACATTTAGAAACCTTTTTATTATCTTCAGATTCAAATGCTCCTCCAATTCCAAAGTTATGAGAAAGTTTTGGGCCTGATCCTAAAATTTTTGAAGAAGATGATATCCAATTCTTCAACATTGACCAAGACTTACTGATCAGTGGGAGCCACACTGAACCTAATACTTACTCATGAGATACACCTGAATTAGAAAAATCAATTGGAGTGATAGGTAATAAAAGAAGTTTAAAAGGCATCAGTTATCCGAAAAGTCAAGCTGCTTTAGACCAAGTAGCTATTTCCCTTGAAAAAGACTTTTGTAAGGAACTTAGAGAATTTTGGCTTTCATAAGTTTAGACTTCTGAGTAGCCTCTTAACTAGCCAACTGTTTCAAGTTTATTTCAATAATATTTTTGTGAGATGGGGTTTTGGGGTTTTGGGGTTTTGGGG